TCCATCCCCGCCTGCCTGCCCGCCTGCCTGCCTCTGGTGGAGACGAAACTTGTGGGAGAGACTCCTGTCGGTCACCGTATGGATGCGTGCGAGTCCCCCGTGGCGTGTGTGTGCCCCCCCGAGATGATCCTCTGCTGGTGGTACACATCGGATGGGTGTTCCTTCGCCTGCCTGCCAGTCCGTCCTGCGCACTGCTTGGTTGCCGTTCGTTCTCGACCACCACGACCAAGCTGAGCCAAGAAGAGCCTTCTTTCTCGTTCGGCGCAACATCCGCCCGGCTCGGCCATAAAAGCTGACGACGAGCTAAACTTAAGTTTAAGCATAAAACGAACACTTCACAGAGTAAGATCGGCTTACCCTATGGCCAATGGTGACGATAGTTGCGGCCCCCCAAGGCCCGTGACAGACGAGCACCATGTCCATCCTCGTAGCCCTCAGGAGTATACAGCCGGACACACGCACACCGGACTGAGAGCGACACCCTTCCACCCACCCATCCACCCTCGCAAAAAAAAAAAAAAACTCAACGAACTTTCGATTCAGAACCCGTGAGAACTGGCCCTTCTCTGCTGCATCATGAGGAAAACAGACAACAAGAAGGTCCAACAGCACGCCTTACGGTGCTCATGTCTGTTGCCATTTACTTCTACCACTGCTACTGCTGCTGCTGCTACTACTACCACCACCGCTTATACCACTACTACTTTGGAAGAAGGCTTGGCTGCCAGGCGTATGCGTCGTCATAGGCCCCGTAATCAAGAACCATCAAGGAAGGAAAAGAGTCTTACTTGCACCGAAATTTCAACGCTCACTGCGGGCACGCGCGCACAACTGCCGAGAAGAAGAGCGCACAACGCTTGAACATAGTAACAAATGTAGCACCCTACCCAGCGGTAGCAAACGTGTTCTTCCACATCCACAAACTGCCTGGATATTACGCGAGAGCGATACACCCCCGGCACTCGGCACACAGTCTCGCCAAAAGAGAGTGCCAACCGAGTTTACCACCAAGGAAATCGGAGGAAAAAACGAGAGCAAGGTAAAAGGAACTCAGGAAGCCGAGAAAACAGGAGCAAACTAAAAATAAGTGCTGCTGCTGTAGTTTTGCCCCGTCGAGCTGGCTACTTTAGTTATTTGTTTCTTCAGCGCCGGCGGTCTCTCTCTTTCCTATCCCGATCCCTGTCCCCTCTTTACAAATAAATAATACCCAAGACAACAAAACCACAGTCATACACCAAAGGCCCCGACCGCACAGTATCAAAAGGTTTTAAACCGTGTTGAGCCGGAACGTTCCACGGAACGAGAGGCGAAGAAGAAGACCACGAAGAAAGAGGACGTCAAACACGCATCATCCATCAGCACAATAATCGAGAACAGGGCGTGTTTTGGTTTTTCGCACGAACGTCGATCATAAACAACAGTAATAGTGTCGGGAGAACAAGCGGGGGGACAGGGATCGATGGAATGGGGGCGGTCATGCACAAAAAAGGAGGGTTTGATAGAGAGAGAGAGAGAGTTGGGAGGGATACATCCGATTTCGCCGGCCCCGTGTTGGCCCCGCGAGAGCAGAGAGGAAAAGACAAGATGAGAAGAAAGAACGGGAGTAGGAAGAGGAGAGGAGGCACGCAAAACACAAAAAGCGGAGCAGAACGAGGGGGGGGGGGGGGGGGGGGGGGGGGGGGGGACCCCCCCCGTGGGGTGT